TCCTGCTAGGAAGAGACTACATTTCTATAAGTTAAAGGGCAGAATACAGTATTATATTACATTTTTTTCAAATAAAATGAAATTCTTAATTTTAATGTCATGTGATTAAAGATTGGGGAAATGCAGTTTTCTATCACTAGAGGTCACTATTTCCATTATTTCTAGGATTCCTGTGTCTCAAAGTAATTATGTCTTACATTGTTCCAGATACTTACATAAAGATATACATATATTTGTACATCTACACAAAGATATACATATGTTTGTAGCTTTACAGTTGAATTCCCGCAATCTTTGGATCGGCATCTGTGTGCCAGGCACTCTGCTAGTGACTAAGAAGCTCATAGGCCCAAAGAGAGTTTCGTGCTCTACAGATGCTGTGAATAAAATGTTGTGCGAGGTCAGAGGAAGGAAAAACATTTACAGAACATTTTAATAATCTCCTTTTTTTTTGGTTCATCTGTTTTTACTCATACGTTCTATTATGTATTACTAGGTAAAGTATATGTAATTTGTTAGATAATTAATAAATCCATTTTATGAAATTTTTTTTATCCTTTTCTAAGCTGATTTCTTAAATATCTTTTCAATTCGTACCACTGTCTCAGAACAATTTTTGTGTGTTTAAATTATAAAAGTGAATTAAAGCCTGAAAAGAATTTTTAAAGGCTTAACATGATAATATGCTATCAGGTGTCATGGCTAAAAATTAACACATTTTATTCAAGGTTGGAAGATGTCTTAAAAATGTACTTTTAAGTTCAAAACTTCTTTTTCCTCTTGTTGAAGTTCTTCACATAGGCTTAGAGACATGTTTCATTTGTACATGTTGCTCATAAGAAGTTTGCAAATAAAACAATGATACTAGTTTACATTTATGTGGCCCTGCGAGTCCCATAAACAAGGCCCTGTGAGATTGAGTGAAGGTCTCCCAGGCAGTAAAAGGCGCAGAAGCTTGATCAGAATTGGGCAGGTCCAGACGTCAGCACCCTTTCCTTTGTGCTGTCTTCCTTAGGCTGCCCGCTCAGGCAGGTGTCAGCAGAGTTCCATACCTCTGTGTCTTCAGTGACCAACTTGTGAAATAGGCAGACTCGCTCCACTTTGACCCCAGATAACCCAGCCACATAGGAAAGTATCAGATCTAAGGAAACAATTCTATTTCGTGCAACAGTAGATTATTCTAAAGTCAGATTAAGGCAGTATTGAAATATATTTAAAATTATCCTTGAATGCCAAATAAAGTAGGTGGCTTTTGTTTAGGGGCTGTGCTGTGTCTAAAACAAGTATCTCTGAGTGCTGGGAATGTACCCAGTGTGTGATCATATGCTGTTAATGGAAGAGGTGTGTAGAGCCGAGAGCAGCCGGAGTCCCAGATGCCCTGAGGGCGTCACTTCCACCTGGAAAGAGCTACTGTTTTACTGTTTTCTTTGTGCATAGAGTTGAATTCACATAAACTAAATGCGACTCTACATAAACATTGCAAGTGCACTACTTTTATAGCTTTTGTTATGGTGTTGACTCACCTAATGCAAAGAAATAAATTCAGAATTGAAGAGACGTGTAAGTTTTAAACCCGACGCTGTGGCTTTCACTGTGCCACGAGGCTCAGTTCTCAATTCTGTGCACGAGGATTACCTTTAAAAGTAAAATGAGGGCTTCCCTGGTGGCACAGTGGTTGAGAGTCCGCCTGCCGATGCAGGGAACGTGGGTTCATGCCCCAGTCTGGGAAGATCCCACATGCCGCCAAGCGGCTGGGCCCGTGAGCCATGGCCGCTGAGCCTGCGCGTCCGGAGCCTGTGCTCTGCAACGGGAGAGGCCACAACAGTGA